GTTGTTGTATCAACCTTCCAGACCCTCAGGTTCTGGTTCTGGTTCTGCATCAGAACCAGAACCAAATGAGGAGAAGCAGCATTCAGCTTCTATGCACCACAAATCTGGAACAAACTAACAGAAAACTGTAAAACAGCTGAAACACTGACTTCCTTTAAATCCAGACTAAAACCCTCCTGGTTAGTTTTATTTGAATCGTGATCAATTTAACGACTTAATGTCACGTTTTATTGTTGCTCTTTGAAATGCCTTGGTGCTGTACAGATAACATTTGATTTTAGATGTTGCAACACTTAAACTCTTTTAAATAAAATTATTTAACTTCAATGTGATTTTTAGAAAGCCGTATTAAAGAGGATTAAATCGTTCAAATTATAATTTAACTCTTCATCCCTTTTGGACCAAATCTTGTCATATGAAAAAATGGGAAAGATTTCTTGTACAGTGTCCACTTCTGAACATTTTTCTAAAAACATTCATGAACTTGAATTGAAAAAAGGTTTATTGTCTCAAAATGCAGGAATTAGTTTTTATTTTAAATTTCTTTTGTTGAAAATCATTACAGGGAAAAGTTCAAACATAATAATGAAATTAATATCTTACATTTTATGGGACTGGACTAGATAACCGTTTGGTTCTTATTTTCTTTAATGATCTCATCATAATTTTTAAACAAACATTTTCCTGTCAGAGTTCCCCATGAATTCGTTTTGGTTCATAAAGGTTCTGAATGGGACTCGGTTCTGTTGGAGTATCAGACGAACCACAGCAGGAGGAACTGATGTTGGCCCATTATTGATATCTGCATGGTAAAACGTTGCCATGGCGATTTCACATTTAATCAGGTTTAAAATGTAAAGTTGGGAAATAATTTATGTTTCTACTGAACATGTGAATATTTTCTAATTTTTCTCTGAATCCAAAGCAAAACATCAGAACTTCTAAAATCGACTTCCTGTTAAAACGGGTTCGCAGCGCCCCGGCGGCCATCTTGGATTGTGACTCAGAGGCATTTTGTTCCAACGCACCGATCTGAACCGGTTCTGAACATGGCAACCCAATGATCACCAGGAGGACCAGGTCCAAACAGACCGGGCCTCACAGTTATCCTCACCTGGAACTCTTCATCCTCTGGTTGGATCCTCTTCTGTGTTCTGATCCGATAACCTGAAAAAACACAGAGTCATTAAAACCGGGTTCTGATCAGAACCAGAACCAAAGAGCTACTCCTTCATCCTTCCTGCCTGGTTCTGGTTCTGCTCTACAGCCAGAGGTCCTTCTGTCTGGGAGGCTGGAGTCGGGTCATGTGACCCACCTGAACATGACACCAGAACCACCGACCCGGCCGGCTCATATGACACACACACACTATCTCCTCTTTCTCTCCCACTGAGAACCGGATCCTCCATCAGAACCGGCTTGGTCCAGCTGTAACAGAACCATCAAACCTCTGACATCACTTCCTGTTTCCATTCAGAACACAGAGCGCCTGCAGGTTCTGATCAGAACCATTAAGGACTGACAGAACCAGAACCAGTCCTTCCAGAGCCTCCAGAACCACCGGCCCGGTTGATCAGTCTGCTGGTAGGACGGGTCCTCAGGTTCTGGAGACCAGAAGAGCAGTGGGTCGGGTTGTTCAGTCAGAAGGTTCTGCAGAACCAGGCTGCAGTGATACAATGTCTGGTGGTTCTGGTCCAGCGGGCCCTCCTATCTGTTCTATACCTGGAACTGGACCGGGTTCTGACCCGTTCTGGTGGTTCTGGTCCAGTTAATCCCCCCTATCTGGAACCGGACCAGGCTGATCACCACACCTGCAGGTTTCCAGTGTCCAATCTGGATCAGAACCAGAACCAGGTAATGATCGGCTAAGAACCATCAACCCGTCCAAGAGAATCCATTCCTGATTATCCCAGCAGGAAATTACCCAGAATGCCTTGCTGGGATTCCCTGCCTCCTCCTGAACTGATTCCTGAACTGATCCGAGTCGGATCCGGATCCATGGACCCCCAGCAGCCACGAGGGGCGGAGGGGGGGGGGGGGGGGGGGGGGCTTCGGTTGGGCCCCG